TAGAAATATATGTAAGATTATGAACTAGCCAATCAATACAGATGTCTCTGGATTAAGATGTTAAGACAGTACCACTAGAAGGAGAATCCAACAACAACCTAAGCTGACATAAAATTACTTAGGTACTCTGAACTATCGAGATATATATATTTGTTATTGCTACTTTACATGTTTATCAGACAGTAGAACGTTTTTGCAGTGAAATGTGTTGATTTCTTCATCCAATTTAGGAAACTCTAACCAGCTGGATTTGGAAGGACCTTTATATTTGGGAGGAATTGGAACCAGTTCTGAAGAGCTAGCTCTTCCAGTCGAGTTGTGGGCAGGTAGGCTACAATATGGTTATGTTGGGTGTGTCCGTGATTTGGTGGTCAACGATCACGCTGTGGACATCGCTGACTTTGCCAAAAAGCAAGATTCGGGGAGTATCCGCCCTGCCTGTCACCCCACCTTTGGTCTTTGTGACAGCCAACCTTGTTTGAACGGAGGTTTCTGCAAAGAGGGTTGGAATAGATTTGTCTGTGACTGTAGTAGGACGGGATTCGACGGTCCCATTTGTGCTAAGGGTAAGTACTGCATTCTGTCATCAGTACGGAGTCTATAAATACGTCACCGAGCATGCTCACCCTTTCGGCCATGGGGGGGGGGTATAATATGACCGTCAAATTCACTATTCCTTGGTAAAAAAAAGAGTAGCCCGAGAGTTGGCGGTGTTGACTAGCTGCCTTCCTTCAAGTCTATCACTTCAAAATTAGGGACGGCTAGCGCAGATAGCTTTGTGCGAAATTCAACAAATAATCCAAGAATAACAACTGATACAATTGTATTTTCTTAAACTATAGCTTTGTTAGCATTCATTATACCAAAGCTGAGTAGGTTCGATATTGGAAAAAGCCTACAATACATGTAGATAGTATAGCTGTAACACCTGTCGTGTGTGTAAAATGTTAGTAGGTTTCTCCATGGAAGCAAAAATCTATAGCAGTTAGAAGCAATATAACTGTACTATCCAGTAACTGTAGTAAGAAAGGGTGGATCTGTGCTGAGAATAAGAGAAGTCTTATAAGCAAAATAAGTCGTATGCGAAGGTCAGATGGATATATCGTTGAAACATTTGAAATAATTCATACAATCGACGAGTGACAGTGTAAACATTATCAATAATTATTTATCTGTACATTTCTCTTTTAATTAATTATTTACTTGATTATTTTCACAATGTGATGTCAGTCTTTCAGATATGCTTACGAACTACATTTAAGCCTCTGCATAATATGTTCAGATATTTTATTTCAATGATTGTGTATATATTTCAGAAATAACAATAAAACGTTTCAAATTCAGTTTTTAAATACATTTTTATTGCGACTTTTTTTTAAATTCATATTTTTTTTCCCATTAGATGCTACTACATTGAGTTTTGATGGAGAACAGTACATGTCAATTGATCTTCCTGAAGTTTCGCGCACCCAAGCCGAAGATGTCCGGCTCCGATTTCGAACAACGCGCCCTAGCGGACTACTACTGATAACAAGCGTCAAAAAATCATCAAGCTACATGATGGTAGCCTTGGAATCTGGTCGAGCGATGTTTATCTTGAACCTGGGAGATGGAAACAAGGTTATAACCCATTTATTTTGTCTGTCCCGAAAAATCTGCATGCATTTCATTTCAACGAATATAAACAAAGTTCATGTTAGGCCTAAGACAAATGGACTAATAGATTTCGGTGTCTGGGATTAGAATGCTTTTGTATTATCCTGTATTTAAAGAAGTACTGTTGCAATAAAGATACTAATTTAACCGCAAATGTTTTTCTGGTCTCTGCTAGTATGTATATATAAAACAGGGTGTCCGGTCTGTCTGGTGTCTTGACGTTACAAGTTGTTGTAAGGAACTGACTAATTTCAATAAATTTTGAAGATGACCCGGGTAGATCCATGAACAATCGAGTTTAAATATAAGAGCAATCGGACGAACAGTTAGGGCTTGGCAACTATTTCATTTTTTCCGTATCACAGGTACTTTTGTAATCGCCCGTAGTCAGCCAATCTATATGCTAAATGGCGTACACGCACCCTTTCTCACCGTCCTCGTGAAATAAATGCCGCGTGATGTGCGAGTACATTTACTGGTATATTTTGCATTCCTTAAAAATAGTATCTCGGTGAATCTACGATCAATTTACGGACTTACAATGCTGAAATCGGGGTTAAATTCCCCACTGTATACATATCTCAGATAGCCCATCGTGTAGTATTGCCCTGAAATAAATAAAGCCGACATTTTGAAACTAACTTTGCCCTAAGGATAAGAATTGACAAGAAGCTAAAGGGTGGTAACCTTCCATTATTCGTCTTCTGTACATAATATCTTCCAGCAGAGAACATGTTATATTCAAATTACATTTATTACAAGTACAACTAGATTGTGCTTATTTTCTACCAACCTTGCACTCTTCATCTTTAGTTTCATGTGTCTCGGTGGTTTGAAATTAACATGAATGTTTATGATATTTTACAAATATTAGCTCGATTCAACATAGAGATTTAAGTAGAGGTTTAACATTGTTTAAATAAAATTTTAATCTTTCTAGAATATTCCTCCCACTGAATGTTTTGCTTACGCAGCACTTAATGTTCGCCAACTGCAGCTCTTTACATGTAGGTGTCATGTGGCCGATCAATCTCCGTCAAGACACTACCTCCGTTAATTAGACACTACCTCCGTTAATTAGAAACTACCTCCATTAATTAGACATTACCTCCATTAATTAGACACTACCTCCGTTAATTAGACACTACCTCCAATAATTAGACACTACCTCCAGTAATTAGACACTACCTCCGTTAATTAGACACTACCTCCAGTAATTAGACACTATCTCCGTTAATTAGACACTACCTCCAGTAATTAGACACTATCTCCGTTGATTAGACACTACCTCCGTTAATTAGACACTATCTCCGTTAATTAGACACTACCTCCAGTAATTATACACTATCTCCGTTGATTAGACACTACCTCCGTTAATAAGACACTACCTCCGTTAATTAGACACTACCTCCGTTAATTAGATCGAATAATGTTCTTACATCTTCTGGCTGCTGTAGCCTTTTAATCATTGTCTAAACACTGTCTCCATGAATCAATATGAACAGTAATCCTAATTTCTGTTGTCTGCTTTATCCAATTTATATCTCTTTAAACATTGTTCCATTGAATCAACATGAATAGTAGTCCTCTGTTAGCTACTGTACTCAATAAAACCATCTAAATACCATTTGCGATCAATGTATTACGAAATACTCCTCACCTACAAGGCACTCTCACAATCAAGCTCCCTCTAAACAATGTTTCCTTGAATTAGCATGAATATTCGTTCACTTCTGACAACTGTACTCAGTAAAACTCTGTCTGACTTTTGTACGTTTTGTTTGTTTGAATATGGTCATGGAAACTGGCATCCACGTATAGTGAGGGATTTCTGGAATGTTCAATAAGAAGTGTGATCTCGCCATTCTCCGAAGAAGCTTATTACAAAATGAATTGTGATGTCGAACACATGTGCATAATCATGATCATTTAACTGTGTAGACTAAAGAATAGAGGAAGTAGTTTCAAGAACACCAGGAAACATGATATCTCATTCTTATCAACTCTAATTAACCTTCAGCGTCATTTCCAAGAAACAGATTACAAAATGTTTTCCTATATGCAAGCTGCTATAACAAGCAAACGCTTTTCGAGCACTATTTCTGTAAATTAACCAATTCATTTCCGGAGATCACATTGCAAAATGTTTTTCAATCTGGTTGCTGCTGTACCCAACCAAATTCTATCTAAGCAGTGTTTACATAAATCAACATGATCAGTGGTACTCCATCTACTGATTGTTATATCCAATGAACCAAACTCTTCCTAAATGCCGTTTCCAAAAAACAGGTTAAAAATTAATTTGTATCTAGAATGCTGCATTATAATTCCATTTGAGTATTGATCCTCTGTCTACTGTAACCAATCAAACTTTACTTACGTGTTTTATCCTTAAACCAATATGGTTCTCCTTATGATGCGACTTTGTTTGTTTGTATATTGTTAAAGACAAAGCTACTTAATGTGCCCACCATGGGTATCAAAACCCGATTTCTAGCGTTATAAGTCCGCAGACTGTGCCGCTGGGAAGCTATATTTTGGTAGATCAAAAATGACCACATGACTATTACTATCATAGTGCATACAACGTTTTCTCTAGCAATAAATTGATAGGCCATTTAAAAACGTTTAGTTTTCGTGGTACATCACGTCACTATAGTTGAGTAGCCTTTTTTCTACAGCTTCGACCAGTCTTAGTAACGTTCCAATAATATGCCTGGCTTAAGCTCTAGGCATTATTTGTCATTAAAAGCGTTTTTACCTTTCCTTCTATTTACTTTTCAACAGGTAGAATATTTGTAACTGGTCTTCTAAGAATCAACTATAAATGTTTATTGTTCTTTGTGGGTAACTTGATTTTTTTTAAATACATTTTCTTCTATAAGTACAGATCGTGCATTTGAACCAAGGGCTGAATGACGACCAATGGCACACTGTACGGATAATACGGCGAGGAAGAAGTATTGTGATCATGGTAGATTCAGAAGTAAAAAATACAGGTAATTCATATTTTCCTTACTTTCAGCGTTATTCAACAATACGACCAATAACAAATATTGTAATACTCGTTCCACAGATCACATATATCTACTGTAGAACATATGACAGTACCATTTTGCTATTGTAAGTAAACAAGATGTTTTCATTAAGGTATACCGAAAGCTAGAATTTCACACAGGATTTTGGTTAGACTTAGTGTTTAAAATTATATATATATATATATATATATATGAATAGGAAAACACTGGAATATCGGACTGTTTTCTCTCTTTTATTAATTTCTCCTACAGGTTTCGTGACTTCAAAGGTCACTCGTCAGGATATAATTTTACTGAGAATCTATAACAAACACATACAAATATTGTTTTTCAAGTCAACATAAGTAATTTTAAATTAAATACATATATTTTCCAAATGTATAAACATATAATACACTCAACATACAAATTAATATATTAATTGTTTTTCAAAAATAAGTAAAATTAGTCACTATAGTTTTCTTTTTGAACTAAAATGTTATTCTAATTATACTTTTTCTTATTATTATAGAAATCCAATTTATTTATCCTATAATTCCATACTCTTACTTACTTTGTCTTTTATGTAAGTCTTAGTAACTGTTTTACAGGTTTCACTGACTTTACACAACCAGTTACTTGTGCCCTCTTATTACTATTATCTATTAAAGTGGCGCCAAAACAATTTATAAAATATTTTTCGAAAAATAATATTTTATGTTTAAAATTACTTACCAAAAAAAGGAAAACGTGAAAATATGGTTCTTTTAGAATTTTAAATTTTCGAAAAATACATTCATTAAAAGGTTGGCTGGCGTATAGTAGGCTTTTTTAGCGACATCTAATATGGAATCTATATAAATTTATCCTTCATCTCATTTTTAATTTAAATGGCCAGTTGGACATATTGTTAAACCTCTTTTATGTCACATTCCTAGTCTTATTAGGATTATTTGAATTTGTTGAAAAATTGCCAAAACAATTTGAAGAAAATCACTAAAACTGTTTCTTCAGCTGTCATAGCTCTGTATCCAAGTATTGAACATGATAATAGACTTAAATAGCTCTGTATCCAAGTATTGAACATGATAATGGACTTAAATAGCTCTGTATCCAAGTATTGAACATGATAATGGACTTAAAGCTGTGGAAAGTTTTCTAAATAAATACAAAGAATTAATTCATCCCAGGTTTGGTATAGGTTTTATCTTTAAAAGGTTTAGCTATAGTATTAAAAAATTGTTTTTTAACTTAAGAAGTACAAATCTTTCATGATATTTCTGGTACAGCAATGGGCAAAAAGTCACTCCAATTTATACTAATATCACTATTTATTTTTCGAATTATAATTATTTAATATACTACCTAATTATTTGGAAAATAATTTTGTAGCTCATGTAAAAGCTTTTTGGAAAAGTTTTTGACGATTGTTTTTAATATGAAAAGATACTCAAGATATTAATGAATTTGTTGGAAGTATAAATTCAATAAACAAGGAAATTAAGTTTACCTTTGAAATAAATAATAAAGGTTTGTCCTTTTTAGATGTGGTAGTAAGTGTTTCACCAGAAAAGTAAATTGTATCTGATATTTTATATAAACCCAGAAACTTTCGTCAATATGTAGATTTTTTGTAGTAATAATCCCAAACATATAAAATTAAATGTTCCTGTAAGTCTTGCAAGTAGATTATATCGTTTGATTTCCAATGTAGAAACGAGAGGTAACAGATTATTAAAGCTAAAACAATCCTTAGTTAAGTGTCACTATCCAGAAAAAGTTATATTAAGAGGTTTTGAAATTGCTAAGATGAACGTTTTTGATTAAAAAAAACATTTAAACAGAGAGGTTAATGAACTTAAAGAGAATATACCTTTTGTTGTTACTCATTTTTCAAATATACATACTGATACTTCATTTGTTAATACACAATTAAAACAAATAGTAGATCAAAACTGAAAAATGTATTCAAAAATAATAAAATTATTTTATCAAGAAGACAACCTAAAAGTTTATATAGATTATTGAATAAACCTAAAAAAAAGGTAACTTCAGTTGTGACAAAAAAGAACTGTGCTTTATGTAACTTAGGTAATATGAAAACTATTGAAACAATATAGAACAATAATAAAAAAATTTTGTTTTTTTATTTAATTGCAATTCTAAGAACTTAATTGGAAACTGTGGTGAATTATATATTGGTGAAACAGATAATTTAAGATTAAGGATAAATCTACACGAATTCCATGTTAGATGCCCTGAAAAAAGCCCACTATATGGCAGCAAACATTTTAATGAACATATTTTGAGAAACTTTAAAATTCTAAATAAAACAAAAAACATATTTTCATGTTTTCCCTTTTTGGGCATGTAATGTAAGACATAAAGGATGATTTTTCAAAAAATATTTTATACAATGTTTAGCGCCACTTTAAATAGATAGTAATAAGAGGGCACAAGTAACTGATTATGCAAAGTCAGTAGGAATTGTGAAACCTGTAAAACAGTTACTAAGACTTACAGAAAAGACAAAGTAAGAGTATGGAATTATAGGATAAATAAATTGGATTTCTATAATAATAAGAAAAAGTATAATTAGAATAAGATTTTAATTCAAAAAGAAAACTATATTGACTAATTTTATTTATTTTTGAAAGAATTAATATACTTAATTTGTATATGATTGTATTATATGTTTGTAGATTTGGAAAATATAAATTAATATAAAAAATATAAATATAAAATATAAATATAAATGGAAATTTAAATTACTTATGTTGACTTGAGAAATGGTATTTATTTGTTTTTATTATAGATTCTCATTAAAATTATATCTTGAAGAGTGACCTTTGGAGTCACAAAACCAATTGAAGAAATTAGTAAAAGAGAGAAAATAGAATAGTCTGATATTCCAGTGTTTTCTTATTCGTATCTACAGATGACTCTTATTGATGTGTTGGTTATATATATATATATATAATAGTACTGTCTGTTGTATGCCCATATAAATACTTCGCAGGATGTGGATTGATCTTCACTAAAATTGGTTTGGAGGTTCATTAGGTCCATGCGGGAGTCCATAGAAATTTTCAGTTTTGCGGTTTTTATGGGCGTTTTTTACCACTACTTCGCCCTCTATAGATGGATCTTCACCAAATTTGGTATAGAGGCTCATTGGGTCCATGTGATTTACATAACTTCCGTCCAGAGGAAGGGTACGTCCGGCTATTATATATATATATATATATATGTGTGTGTGTGTGTGTGTTTCTAAAATGCATTTTTAAAATGTGGAAAATGTCTTGAATAACTTCCATATGAAGCATTTTCTAAGCCTTACTTTGATGAAAATATTGAAAGTAACAGAAATGTTTCTAAACATTACTAAGACGTTCAAATACATAACCTAAAGAAACCTAACCTATATAAAAGTTAAAGTGCGTCACGTCACGCTTCATTTCTCGAAATAGGAGTCATAAAAGCCAAAATGCATTTATCCAGATCGAATAGTTAGATTAATGTCTTTCCATTGCGACTTTAGTGACGGGGTGCAAGGGGAACGTGAGGGGGGGATGCCGTGAAACCTTAGAAGTGTAGTTGGTATAATAAGCATAAAGTAAAGACGTAGTATGGGATCACCTAGCCAGAACCGAGTGCATAAGATTTATCACGAAAATAAAAATATCGATTCAATTTTAAATTTAAATCATTTCTCAATTAAGCTATTTTCAGTTACATCACAAACAGGCCTGGATTAACCATTAAGCAAAATAAGCACGTGCTTAGGGCACCAAAGAGTTTTTTCCAGTGCTAGATTTACCAAGGTGCAGCTGAAGTAGGGCCCCACAAAAAGAGGGCCCCCACAATAAATGAAAAAAAAACAGACATATATATATATACACGCATACAACAAGATAGTTGTGGGGTCTGGCCTGGAAGAAAACTGAATTTCTAATCTATTATTTCACATTCAGCACTTATTGAGTCTTAATGTCTTGTCAGTTAGACAATGGAAGGGTCGAGGGGGAACCATTGTTGGACTGTGCTTAGGGCATCAGTTAGCCATAATCCGGCCCTGTTCACAAACATTTTTAATTTAAAAAATCTTATTTAATCAACGGAGATTCTACATTTAGAAATCAACAAATGTTTTTCCAGTTTTGTTGTCTATATATTTCATTTTATACTTTCAGTACATAGATTATCAACAATATTAGGCTATACTTTTGTTGCTAAGCGATATGGCGTAAAAGCCATATTTTTTTATTAAGAACATCGGTGATATAGCAGAAAATAGCTTAATTCAGAAACGATTATGGTTATAATTTGATCGATATTTTTACTTTCATCATAAATTTTATGCACTTTCTAGAATATATCATCGTAATAACCCGTGCAAAATCGGGTACTCTCTTAGTATTTTAGGCAGATTTTGTTAAACAAGACCGATGTCTGTAGGTTTACTTTCTTC